GTCACCTAATTAAAGCATTGCTAAGGAAACCCAACCAAGCTTGCCAGGCAGTCAGGCTTCTGGCATTCACATTCAGCCTGTTTTTACCATGATCCCAATCACCAGCTTTCAAACCAATCTCCTAGGATGTTTGGTGGATGGTGATCATTTCTAATTTCTGAATTGGTCCTATTTCAATGAACACAAAATCTAATTCAATACATTTTCTATCTTTAAAAAGATTAAATTGATGATTATTTTTTTTTTTTTTGATCAGCCAAAGAAAATTTAATTTAATATAGTGAAGCACAAGGGGTGCTCCTGCCCATATACAAAAAATGGAGACCACAACAGTGGAGAGCCAATCTCCAAAAAACCAGAGATTGACAAAGCTTACATATCACAAACAGAAAACGTCAGGTGCCCAAATACTCCACATTTGAAGACAAAACATCCCCGCCTATCCATCAACTAGAGGGCACGCGAGCTTTATAGAACTGCTTCCTCGACTTTTTATGATTTTTGACAGCCATAGCACACTCCATAGGACAAGCTTGCCATTCGTAAAAAGAAAAAACACATCCATTAACTTTGGATTTTATCCATATAAATGTTTTAACTTGCATCCTTTCCAGCAGATTTTCTGGTAGTCCTTCGTCTTTTCGAAACACTTGAACATTCCGTCTATACCATAAGTACCAGGCAACCACTAGGAAAATACATGAACCCATCTCCTTTCCAGCTATGCTTCCCAAACTACCCATGAAAACCTCTGCCATTCCCCCTACTGTGTTAGGCAAAACAGACTTCAAACCCCACCAACTCAACACCTGAGTCCAAGCTAACCATGCATTATAACATAAACAAAATAAATGATTAACTTCCTCCGCCTTCCCATTACAAAATTCGCATAGCACCCCCTCCTGTAGCAATATCCCACGTTTTTCCAAGTTTTCCTTTGTAGGGAGTCTATCTAAGCACAATCGCCACCCAAAAAAAGCCACTTTGGATGGCACCAATCTGCACCTTATTAATTTGCATAACTGGTCCTCCAACACACTCTCCGTAGAAGCTAAAAAATCATACGCTAGCTTCACCCCATATTTGCCATCCAACACATGAACCCACTTCCAAACATCCGCTACCCCATCCTTTAGTTTGACACCTTCCAGCATCTTCTCCAACAGCTCCTCCTCATCTTTCTCTCGCCCTAATGTACCCCTCCTCCACTCCACCCGCCAACGCTATCTACCCTTTTCCCAAGACCCCATTTCAAAAACCTTTCCTTCCTTCTTTACAGATAGTGCAAATAACCTTGGAAATAAATCCCTAAGACATTTAACACCAATCCACTTATTAGTCCAAAAAACCACTATTTCCTTCCCCCACTTCCCACTTGAAACCCTCAACCAACATATTCCTAAGATCGAGAGAAAGACCCCCTATCCTAATAATGTCCCTCCAAATCTTTGACACCTTGAAACACTCAACCGAAGTAATCTCGACCTCCCTCCTACCGCCATAATATTTCTCCCTCACCACCCTTTTCCATAAGCTCTCAACCCGTCACCTAACCTATACCACCATTTTCCTAACATTGCCCAATTTTTTCTCTATAAATCAGGCACCCCAAGACCCCCCTTCGCCTTAGCTCGACACACAACATCCCATTTAACCCAAGAAATTTTCTTAGTTAATTCTGACCCGCCCCATAAAAACCGCCTTTGAATTCTAATCAACTCCTCAAGCATAGATTTAGGTAATAAATATAAAGACATATAAAAAATAGGAAGTGCAGAGAGTACCGAGTTTAGCAAGATGAGGCGGCCTCCAAAAGAAAGAGTAGCGGCCTTCTAGACAACGAGTTTGGTACGGAATTTATTTACAACCAGCTCCCATAATTTCTTGTTCCCAGATTTTCCGTCAACGGGCAATCCCAGATAAAGAAAAGGTGCTCAACCAACCCTGCAGTGTAACATACCCACTGATCCTTTTAGCCATTTCTCCGACACATTATAACCAAAAATACTGCTTTTGCTGAAATTAATCCGCAATCCCGACATAAGCTCAAACAATTTTAGGATGTCCTTCACCGTACGTATATTCTCAGCATCCACTCTGCCCATAATAACTGTATCATCAGCGAATTGGAGCAACGACACGGACAAACCTTTCTTTCCAATCTCAATCCCATGTATCATTCCCTCCTTTACTGCTCTCTGTACCAGACCTTATAACCCCTCTGCAATCATCAAAAAGAGAAAAGGGGATAGAGGGTCACCTTGTCTCAAGCCTTTACCCACCTCAAATTCCTTTGTCGGGCTTCCGTTTACCAGAATCGAGATTCTCGCCGTTGAAAGGCATTCCTTAATCCAGCCTCTCCACTTTATTCCAAATCCAAAACTCTCCATCATCCAATCCAAAAAGGACCAATCTACGCAATCATATGCCTTTTCGAAGTCAACTTTAAAAACAAAAGCTGGCTGTTTCTTCTTCTTAATTTCATCCACAACTTCATTCAGCACCAAGACACTATCCACCAACTGACGGCCCCCCACAAAGGCAGATTGTGTTTCACTCACTATTTCTGATATCACAGACTTCAATCTATTAGCCAGCACCTTCGCTAATAATTTATAGACACATCCTATCAAGCTAATGGGTCTATAATCCTTTAATTCTATAGCATTCAACTTTTTAGGAATCATGGCTATAAAAGAAGAATTTAGACCCCTCACCAATTTACCATTACGATGGAATTCAGAAAAAAAAGTTGAGGAAGTCCTCCTTTATGCAGTGCCACGCATATTTAAGAAAGTTGAAGTTGTACCCATCAGGTCCTGGTGCCTTTGAACCTTCACAGCTCCTTAAGCCTTCCTCTATTTCTTCAATTGAAAATGGTCTTTCCAGCCAATCTTTTTTCTCCTCGGATAACTGCTGGAATTTAATATCCCCAGGCTTGGGTCTATTCCATGACTCTCCTTGAAACAAGCTTCTAAAATATCTGACTATCTCATTTTTTACTAAATCTGGATCATCAATCCATGCTCCATCACACATTAGTCCCGCAATATTGTTCTGTGCTCTTCTTCCTTTTGCAACTCTATGAAAAAAACGAGTATTTGGATCTCCCTCATGCACCCATTTACTCCTTGACTTCTGCTTCCAGATAAGTTCCTTCTTTCTCAAAACATCCCACATCTCAGAAAAACCTTCTTGCCTTTTCACAATCTCAGCCTCTTCCAGATCAGATATCTCGTTCTGCATATCAACTTGCTCAATCTTTTTTATAGCTTGCTCATATTGAGCCTCCATATTCCCAAAGACTTCCTTGTTCCAGCCCTTTAGAAAACCTTTTAGCATTTTCAGCTTTTGCTGGCACTTATACCCTGCAAAACCCTCCACCTCCATCTCACTCCATTTATCTTCTACAAACTTCTTAAAATCAGGGTGTTGTTGCCATGCATCCAAAACTCGAAAGGGTCTTGGTCCCCAATCTGTTATTCTGGACTTCAATACAATAGCACAATAATCAGAGATATTCCTTTGCAATCCTTGTTGTATCTACTCTCCTTCCATATTACTCATCTCCGAACTCAATAGGAATATGTCCAATCTACTCCTTGCTGTGCCATCTGGTTTATACCATGTATAACTTCTATTCGACAATTTAACATCCACCAAATCAGTTGTCACAATAAACTCATCAAATTCCTTCATGTCTGGGCTCTCTCCTGTTCTACCTCGTCTCTCCTCCGGCCCTCTGACTGCATTAAAGTCCCCTACTATCAACCAACACCATTCCTTGTCTGTCACCATTTTCCTCAGTTCCTCCCACAAACTAGCCTTCTTCTGTCTATCATTAGGACCATAGACGTTGATTAAAAAATACTGCCTTTTATTTGCTCCCCATTCCCCTGCCACTCCCACGAATCCATCACCAGAAAAATCTTCCCTCTTAACAAACTGTCGACTATCCCACATACATAGTAAACTTGAAGCTCCGGAAGAACCCTTCGCAACCCAATCAAACTCATCTGAATTCCACAACTTTCTACATATGCCTATATCAACTTTTTCTAACTTTGTTTCCTGCAGGAATAGAAAATCGGGCTTCTCCTCTTGAACCAGCCTTCTCACTTCCTTCTTTTTCAGCGTCCCACCCAAGCCCCTTACATTAAAAGACACAAATTTCATTAATCAATTCTATTTACACAAAACTCCATTCAACACAATCACCCCTACCTCCTTTTCGCATCCCTCCTCTCTGCCCCTTCACGATCTATTGCCTCTAGTAACTTTGATTGAATCTCCTCCTCATTATTTTCAAATTTAAGACCCAATCTCTTCCCCACCCCCATCATCCGACGCACCTCATGCATATTCAACTCCCTCTGCAACACCCTATTTCTATTTTCAATACATTCATCTGAAATAGAAACAGCAGCAGCGTTGTGTACCTTGTCATCCCCGGCTTGGCTAGTTCCCTCTCTCCGTGCCAGTCACTGCTTTGTTCTGGGTGTTACCCACGGTGCTCCTTTTGCCCAGATCTCCTCCATGCTCTCCAGATAACACTCTTGAAGAGGTCTCTGTTTTTTGCTGCCCTTTGTTGTGTTTATCGATTTCTGCATTGCCGATGGGTCCACCGCTATTTGTTCATTTAAAATGGGTTCCTCCATGTTCATTTCCTTTGTCTGTTCCCAACCCATCCTGATAGTCGGCCCACTACCTTCTACTGGCCCAACAAAACTCACTCTTTGTGACCCAATCTCCTTGGACAGCCCATAGCTTACATCTCTTTCCAAAACGGTCTCTTGCACAATTTGAATACAACTCTCTGTTTCTGTTGCTATCTTCAGATTTGAATTTGACACCAAATCCTTCATTAAATGCTCGGAACCGTTTCTTACATCCTCACCGTCGCCAATCACATCCATATCCATTTCCGGATCCTCGTTCTGACACCACGAGTTTGAGAACTTAGACTCCGTTTCCAGGTTGCTTCTCCGGTCATTCTCCGATAACCACCAATATGGATCAGAGCGCCACTCCTCTTCAACTATCTCTATCTCATACACCTGCTCACCCACCTTCAGCTTAACTTGTTTAGAGATTTTACTAGGCTCTGAGCAAAGGATCAGAACTCTTCCATCCCATAATATTGCTTTCTTCTTTGTGTCCTTGTGCACAAGCAAAACTTCTCCCATTGTCTCACTGATCTTCTGAAAGCACCTCTCTCCCCATGCTTTTAATGGCACACCCGATATACGTACCCACATCATTCGACTTTTCTCCTCTGGTGCCTTCTCCCATGGAGTTATAGACTCAAACCACATACCAAACAACTCCTCATTATGCTTCATATAATCAGATAAGAACCCTGCAACTTTCTCAGTTAGTAGCACCCGTCTTCCCCCAATTGGTGATAACGAGATTGAGCCTCCATCTGCATCCATTTGCTCTTGAATCTCAGATACCAACGCCATTGACCTCACCACTGCCACCATGCCACCCTCAAGCCATTTCAGCTCATCACCCGATGGGATGAATTCAATAGTCTTCTCTGTTTTTTCTGCTTCCTTATTCTCTTGTAACCTTGTTTTGACCACTTCCATTTTCGAGGCTTCTTTTTTTACCTTTTCCTGTGATTGTTCTGAAACCTTATCCTCTCTCTTTCCTTTGCCCTTCACTGCTTGAGCATATGACTGCCCTGGTTGAACCAACCTATTCATGTTGCTTGTTGATCCACTGACTTTAAGCGCACCTTGTACCTTCCTGGACGATGATGATTTCCTTTGTCTGTCATTTGCAACCTTCACTCTCATCTTATATGAGCCAATCCACATCTCATTTAGCCTCCTTTCCATTTGAATCTCATTCTTGACCCCTGACAGTCGCACAAAACCATACCTCTTCCCTCTCTTATCACGTTTACTCGGAATATACACATCAACGACTTTACCATACATCTGAAAGCTATTCCATAGAAATTTTGCCTCTAATTCCTTTGGGAAGTTATAAAAGAAGAAAGTTGATGTCCTTCCAGAAAACTGTGAACTGTAATCTACAAACCTGTTCCTATATCCTTGCCGCTGTCTGTAGCCACTATCTTTCCTGGCTGCCGCTCTCCTTGCCGAAACCCGAGTGCTCTCCATTTTTCCCCTTTTAAATCGATGACTATTAGTTATTGCATAACTTATCATATAGTATATACTATATGGCATTGATCCATCTTTCATAAAATTTTCTTTAGCAAATTCATGTGTTAGATTTAGTGTTTTGTTGATATTTCTATCGTTAATATTTACAACATACTTTGGATATATTGTTAATATGAATTTTTTATAGCCAAGGTTACCTTATATTATTCCTAGGATAATATTTTTTCTATCATTCATTCTATTATCTATTAAAGCTAGCTTTATTGGGGGTGTCTATACCTTCTCTAAAAAAAGTTTTAATAAGAAATTGAATTTCTCCTGTATGAATAAATCATATTCTTGATGTATTAGGTTATTTGATTTTTGACAATTTATTTTCTATTTCTACCTTGACAAAGTAGAGGTATATTTATTACTTCTGTTGTATTCTTGATAGGAATGCTATATTGTTTAGTGGGTATTTCGTAATAGATTATATCTTTCCTCTTAAAAGAATTACTTAGAGAAATTTGACTTAAATCCTTTTTCTAATGTAAAATCTATTTCCTTTCACCTAATTCCTTTATACTTACTTTTATCGAATACAGTTAATTCGCTGTATTCTCCATACCCTTCATATTCTTCAAAATAAGCTTTCCCTCCCCTCAATATTGAGATTCATTGCTAGTGAAAGTATCTAAACTTTCCACTTCATATAGACTTTCATCACTATTTATAGAGTTAGTCTCTATTTCGCTTAACTTGTCTTAAATTTTTAAATTTTTAGTACTTTCTCTTTTGCATCTTTTAGGACAGTCATTGCATAGTGTCCTTCTTTGCATCCAACATGTGCATTTCTTAGGATTCTTTTTACATTTTCTTGGTGTTTTTGTTTTCTTTTATTATTATTAAACCCCTATTTTTTACTTTTTTTAATTCTAAATCTTTTGTTTCTCTACTTGTAATTTGAATAACTACATCTTAACTTAATTGGATCACCATTTTTAGGACAATATAACTCCTTTTTTATACTCCTTTTTAATTTATTATAGTTATAGATTTCTATACACCACTCATTTATTTTGGTTTTGGTGAACTAAATTCTTAGTCCTAATTTATTGGTTTTATTTTCTACATAGGTTCTACAAACTTCTACTAGCTTTATTCCCCAAGGATTGGGGATTTTTCCAAAAAATTATTCGCTTAAACCTTTTGCCATTCCATGATTTGAGGTTTATAATAATATTTCTAGAATAAATAGATATATTGGTCTAGTTCACAAAGATTATATAATTCTAAATTCTACATATTCCATACTTCTATTCTTCCAATTCTGGCTTCTTCCTTTTCTTGATTTTCTTCCCAATTTTCTCTTAAAAATTCCTTTTTTATAGCTGATTTGAACCTAGTTATTATGTAGCAATCCGACCCTTTGTCCGTTGCCAAGAGCTAGTGTAATGAAATATGTAGATGTGTAGCCCTTTGCACATTGCTAGAGACTAAATGAGGTAGTATATCTAGCCCTTTATCCATCACTGGGAGCTGTGTAAATATAGCCCATTGTCCATTGATGGAAGCCAAAAGATGTAGCAGTGAAAATCACTACAGAGAACATGACCATAAAAAACGCCCAATCATGTTGTAGAGATAGATATAGCCATGTTTGACCATGTATATAAAAATAGATGCTGGAACAAGTTACACTTGTAATATTTCCAACAAAGTTGATGAATGTCGCTCTTGGTGATGTTGACTCCGTTGCAGTAACAGTAAAAAATAAAAATTGCATATCTGATGTGGAAAATAGATCATGTGGGTCCTTGTTGATGTGGAGTTGCACACGTCATTAATTTCAAAACCATACAAATTCATCCCTCAAGAAAAATTTAAAAATCCAATTAGTTTTTAAATCTAAATATTAATATTTAATAA